TTCTTTTATATCTTTATCTTCTTTTTATATCTTTCTTTTCTTTTTTTATTATTTGATTTTTTCGTTGACTATTCAAGAATAGAAGTGAAGAAAATAGAAAGAAGAAAGTAGAAGATATATGATAAAACTGGAAATGAATATAAGTGAAGAAGAAAAAAGGATGAGAGATAAATATGAAAGAGGAAAGAAAGAAGAATAACCACGGAAGAAAAGATGTAAACAAACTGAATAGAAATGCATATAAACAAGTAATTCAACATAACTGAAATAATAAAAATAAATACAACTCGACAACAATAAATAAGAAATAGAAAATGAATAAGAAAGAACAAACCCTCATATGAAATATAAGAAAGAAAGAAGAACAAGAAAAGAAATAATTAAAAGAATAGAAATATAAAGAAACACAGTAAGGAAAAAACATAAGAAAATAACAACAAATAAAAAGATAATAAAAAGAACGGATAGTGCACAGAGAAGAAAAGAAGATACAGAAGTGAAATAACTAGATATGACATATAAAAATCAAATAATGAAGAATAATAGGAAAGATAATAACCAATGAAACAAAAGAAAGAAAAAGAAAGAAAAGGACAATAAGAATAGAAAAAGAAAAGAATAAAAACAACCATCAAAATAAAAGAAGAAGAACCAAACAAGGATTAGAATAGAACAAAGAGAAAGAAAAGAATATCAAGAAATAAAAAATAAATGGAAATACGTATAACAATAAAGAAGAGAAAAAAATTCAATAAATAAGTGTTATGATAAAAGAATAAATTATAATATGATATAATGAAACAAATAAGAAAAAGAAAATAAAACAAACACAAATAAATAATATTATACTAACAAAGATAAAGATAATAAGAAATGAAAGGGTAATATAATGATAAATCGACATAAATAAAACACCTTCATAATAATCACTAAACAAACAATATTTTCATTTTCAATCAGATTCATTTCAACCAGTAACAATAATTATATTCCAAATAACGTATTTTATTATAAACGAAATGATTGACACAGCGTCAAAATGATAAATTAAATGAAATAAGAAATGATAAATAAATAAATGCATAAAGAATAAAAGAAATAATAAACATACAAACACAATTAGAAACTACAAAAGAATAAGAAAAGAAAGAATAGAATAAATCAAAAAGAATATTTTAGCAAACATTTCAAATATTAAAAATGAAAATATAGTATTAAATAGAAAAAGTTTAACAACAAAGTATGAATAGGTTATAAACAACAAACGTCAATTGAAAATACAACAAAAAATGAATAAAAAAGAAAAAAAGAAGAGATGATAAATTCAAAAGAAAAAAAAGAATCAATTAAAGAAAGAATAAGAAAATAATGATAAATAAGAATGATAGATTTAAAGAGAAAGAATTGAAAACACCACTTGAAGATGGTAATTGATGTTCACAAGGATCAAGAATACAAATCATATTGATAGAATCGAATTTATAACCATCATCACAATAAGATAATACACATTTTGTAGACCATTCACCATTGTCACCACATACATACCCACCATGTCCATGTTGTATTTTAATTTCAAGATCACATTTCTCATCTCTTTTAACCAGTCTTTTATTTTTTGGATTACATTTAGTTTGATATTTCTCTATTATCCTTTTAGTTTCATCTTCAAATTCATTAATCTTTCTATCAGAATATTCATAAATATTTACTCTTTCATCAATAATATCAGGTAAAAATTCTCTAGGAATAGTTTCGTTATAATTATAATTATATCTATAAGACTCTAAAATACTTATACCTAAGTCGTAACCATAATGGGTAAAAATATTATCTTCTAACACTTCATTGACACTCATAACGGCTGTAGGTGATAAACCTACTTCAAATTCATCATCTTTTCCATTAGGATCACCATCAAACCCTACAAGAATAGCACTTCCCCATTCTTTTAATCCTTTTGTTACTTCTGAACAAGCAGAATAACAAAATGAATCAGTATAAATAATAATTTCTGTTGGTTTTCTTTTATTTTTCATTACTTTCATTTCTTCCCAATTTTCACTTGATGGTTGTGAAACTTTATGTTCAATATCACCGTATTTAATAATTCTTGGGTTTGTGTACCATTGTCCAAGTGTTTTTGGATTAACATACTGTTCTCTTTGTTCACATGTCTTTGGATTAAATAACACACTTCCATAACCTGCTTTCAATACAATTTCTGTAAATTCAGATATTCTTCCTGATTCTATGTCGTTCACATCAACATATGATGCAAGTATTTTTTGTACCCATTGAGAATAAATAGCATTTCCACCTCCATTTTTTGGAAGTATAACTTGAATTGGATACTTATTAGAATCAAATAAATCAATACATTTTGAAATAGTTTTTTCATATGATTTTACATATGATTCTTCAGGATAAAATGATTCAATAATAAATGTATTAATATTGTTGTCTGAAAATAAACAATATACGTTTCTATCATCTGAAATATATTGTTCTTTGATTTCTTTCTTTATTTTTAGTCTGTTATGTATTTGATTTCTTTCTTTTATTTCAAGTGGGATTAATGGTCTTTTAATTCCATATTTAGGTTGTTCTCCTTTAAGTAATTTTCTGGTACTTATATCATGACTTTGAATTTTTAATATAGAATAAGAAATTGTTATATTTACTCCATTTTTCCATGTAATTGTTATTGGTGTTTTTAAATAATCTTTTGGTAATGGTGTTGAAGATAAACTTCCAAATGAAAGACTTGCTTTACTGTGTGTAAATTGTGCATGTGGACATTTTAATCCAATATATTTTTTTCCAAATTCTCGAATAATTGTAAATGGGTCTTTTCCATTGATTGTTTTAACTTCTTGATTCATATTATATACAAGTTCTTGTTGATATTTAATTTTAAATCCACCAATTTCCGTTATTGGAATTAAATACATTTTTTTGTCACGTTCAATATTTATTACAAATGGAAGAAAATAATAAAAATACGTTAATTCTAATTTTGCTGTATTAATGTCTTCATCAATTGTAAAACTTAAATGAGAATCTCTTGTTAATACTAAAAGTTTGTATATTTCAGAATAAAAGTCGTACATCTGAGTAGTTTTTGTATTTATTTTATTTAATTCCGAGTCAATGTCTACTTTTTCATAATAATGGTCAGAGAATGATGGTTGTGGAGGATTTTTTAATATGTCTTTATAAACATAGGATTCTAAAAATTCTTTTAATCCTGTAATAATATCGACATTTTCTTTTTCGGTGGTTTTAAATGTATTAATACATTCAAATGCACTATCAACAGTGTCTTCTTGTGTTTCTTTATATTCATTACATTGTTTTCCAAATGAAGTTATAATAAATACAAGTATTAATGTGTTCATAGTATTCTTTTAATCTTTCTAAGTTTTTCATTTCTTTTTCTATAAATATTTTCCATTATAATTTTTTCTTGAAATATTATCTTTATATTCTTTTCGTTTTCTACATTTTTGTATAATTACATTATGAATAATTTATGGTAGTACGTTGATGTTAGTTCGTATATTCTATTGAATTTAATCGAAACAAATCATTTTTTTTTGGTTCTTTTTATTTTCACTTCTTGTAATTTTGACAAAAATTTTAATGACAAATAATGTCATCTTAATACACAGCACTATCTTGGATATACATCCTGTCTTTGTTATATTTATGACATAAAGAAATCTTCCATTTTCTTCTTCTGAAACAAAACTCTTACCTAAATTCAATCTAGTAAAATAGTTTTATCTGTGACCAAAAGAAATTAGATGCTTTTTATTCAATTACAAACAACCATTAATTTCATACAATCATCATTTTCTTTTTAATGATGAAAATGAACATCTCAATGATGAATATCTATTATTAATTCTTTACTAATTTAAAGTTATTCATAATCTTATTTGTTTTAAGAAATGAAAGATAAAAAGTATCAAAATTGATAAAAATTAACTAACAAATATTTAATGTATTTAATGAAATAAAGAATTGTCAATATGAAATTAACAATTTGTGATTCATTTATGATAATTAATATTTTATAATCAATTCATATAAAAATTCCTTAATATTTCTTATTTTATTAACATAACATTACTTATTATTGAAATAAATCAATTTGTTTTTAAATTAATCAACAGCATTTAATTTATCTTTCTCACATTTGAATATTTTCTTGCTTCTCTTCTTTTTATTTCATTTATTGTCATTATATGACTATTTTCCATTATACTAATAAAGTTCTTTTCTTTCTATTTATTCATTTCTTTTTTTCATATTTTCATCTAAATTTCTTTATTGTTTGATACATTCTCTCGTTTTATTAATATCTCTTTATATTCCTGTTATTTGTTTATTTGTCATTGCATACTTTGTAATAGCATATTTATCAAAACTTTTTGTAACACACATTCTTATAATATATATTCATGTTCTTTTCATCATATATTCAACTATTTCTCACTTTTATTCAATCTTTTGTAGAGTATTTGTCTTTATTCTTTCATTTGTTAAATCTTGTTGATTCTATTCATTTCATTTTTATTATATTTTGTCAAATTTGAATATCAACATTTTATAAACAAATAGGCAATATTGAACAACATATTAGATTGAACTAAATTAATTATTAATAGTCAATAAGGCAACG